AGCAGTAATGCGTTTCAGTTTGAAGGGTGGGGTAGCCGTTGTAACTATACTGAGACCTTAGAACTCATATCTCAAGGTGGGTAGCACATTTACGTTGTAGATGTCTATGGGCTCCAGTAACCACTTAACACTAGGGCTGTGAGCTCGTCCACCCATCTAATCAATAAAGAAAAAAAAATATAATCAAATAATGCTGATATGAAAAAGAATAATAGATTAATTTACTTTTTTTTTTTAAATACTTTTAATATTGAATTAAGTGATGTTCGAGCCAATACATTTTTTATTCCATAATGATTCTAGTATTTTTTAAACAGCTCCATAAAACACGATTTAATGACGGATCCGAGTTTCATATTAATGATTATGTTCCTCCCGTGGCTAAGTTTTAATTTTTTTAAATAACTTTGAGCAATCAACGCGCTGTTCGATTTACTGTTTACGATAACATCGCTTAACTATTAATTACACGTTGCCGTGAACGTTGCTACGGAATTAAAATGTTGATGAACGTAATGATTTGATTTTTACACTACAGGTTATCATGTAATCTATATATATAAAAGAAAGTCGTGTTAGTTAGACTATTTATAACTCAAAAACGGCTGAACTGATTTGGCTGAAAATGGGCGAGGAGGTAGCTTAGAACCAGGAGAAGGACATAGGATACTTTTTATCATGTTCCCATGGGACGTGACATAAAACGTGGTATAACAAAACGCAACTGATATGGAATAACAAAACGCAACTGACAGCTAAACGTAATATATTCTATGGTTAATTATAGTAGAATTTTGAAGTTGATGTGTTTGAAACAAACCGTGTGGTGGAACAAAGTTCGCCGGGTCCACTAGTATAATAAAAATACAAACGATACTGCAACAACGTTCTCATCTGACATCAAGATGCTGGTTCGCGAAATATGCCTGAAAATATTATAGTAAATTGTTTTTTTAGTTTATTATTCCCCTTTTGAGTTTTAGGGACTTTTAGCTACTTATATTATTTTTAAATCTATTTAAATAAAAGTACATGTTTGTGTACCTGTATATTTGTCAATATTCTAAGGCATTCGAATTCATGCGATAGTGATGTTTGGTACCGTTGTTGTTGATAATTCAATGAAGGTTTCTATTGAAAGGCATCGCGGTACTAATATCAAGAGATCGATGTTTTCCATTTCAATCAGCCTAGCATGACCTGATTTCACTAGTATATAATGTTATTAATAATAAAAAAACAAGCAATCGATGATGTTGAGAGGAAATAGAAAAATCCATAAATCGATAATGGCTTTCTGATTTATTCAAAGTCGTAAATTTTGTTGCACCGCAATTTATATTTTTTTTTTTTATTGCTTAGTTGTGTGGACGAGCTCACAGCCCACCTGATGATAAGTGGTTACTGGAGCCCATAGACATCTACAACGTAAATGCGCCACACACCTTGAGATATAGTTCTAAGGTCTCGGTATAGTCACAACGGCTACGCGGCTGCCCCACCCTTCAAACCGAAACGCATTACTGCTTCACGGCAGAAATAGGCGGGGCGGTGGTACCTACCCGTGCGGACTCACAAGAGGTCCTACCACCAGTAATTACGCAAATTATAATTTTGCGGGTTTCATTTTTATTACACGATGTTATTCCTTCACCGTGGAAGTCAATCGTGAACATTTGTTGAGTACGTATTTCNTCATTTTTATTACACGATGTTATTCCTTCACCGTGGAAGTCAATCGTGAACATTTGTTGAGTACGTATTTCGTTAGAAAAATTGGTACCCGCCTGCGGGATTCGAACACCGGTGCATCGCTTCAACACGAATGCACCGGACGTCTTATCCGTTAGGCCACGACGACCACAGAGTTTCTTTAGTTTCTTCTTCACACTCATTTTTGTTTTGCTGATCGAGTCTATTGCTTTTAAGCTTTAATATTGCACCATTTCGACAAGCTCACTTGCTGTTGAGTGGTTATTGGAGTCCATAAACATCACAATGTGAATATTGAATGTCTGTAGGATCTAACTGGAAAACATGCCTGCTTAGGCAGAATTAGGGAGGACGGTTCTATCTAGCCGTGCGGGTCTAAAAATATATTTTCAATGAGAGAAATATTGATTTTAGCGATAAAACCGTCAATAGTACTTTTGTATTTTTGTTGGATTTTTTGTCTTACTAATGTACATACGTATTTAGTATCGGGAATACTACTAATAATAAATCCTATTTTCCACTTTTTTTTATTATGTTCACGTGCATTTTGATTTGCATCTAATTAAGTAACAAAAAAAATATATCAAGAAACTTAATCGTCCACATTATCTTGATATATCGGATAATTCAAACGATCCCAGTAAAGTTTGGATACCGTTTTACGGGTCCACGAAACCTCTGAATGGTTTGAATAAATTACTGCTTCAACTCACACTAAAAGAGAATTATTCACTCGATATTTAGTAGCTAACTAGCAGAACTTTGTAGTGCCTCAATCGTCGATAAATAAAAGACCTAAGCTTTTGTATAAAATAAACTTAAAACAAACAAAAGGGATCCGTCCGACGCGACGGGGGACACATCAAAGAAAAAACAAAATTGTTATTTTTATTTAATTCCGAGCATTTTCATATTTATCTAATATTTTAAACCTTCTTCTCTTCTAACAAATAATTCAAGACCAAAATTAGCCAAATCGGTCCAGCCGTTCTCGAGTTTTAGCGAGACTAACGAACAGCAATTCATTGTTATATATATAGCTAATTGAAGCTTAGGGCAGGTGCAGCAGTACAGTTCTATAAGTTGAACAAAACGAAACGATAATGTGAATAAGCTATTCTTAATATTCCGCCTTTTTTTTAAATTAATTTTTCGTATCCTAGTTTTTTTTAAAGTTGAAACACTAGCACACAATTTGCGAAAGTATAAAAAGGTTTTATCTTAAGCGATAAACCAAATTATTACATGACTAGCGACCCGCCCTCGCTTCGCTTCGGAAACATTAAAATACACATGAAACCAAAAAAAAAAAAAAAAAGTAGCCTATGTTCATCAGGGACAATGTCGGCTTCTAATGGAAAAAGAATTTTTCAAATCGGTCCAGTAGTTTCGGAGCCTATTCGAAACCAACAAACAAACAAATCTTTCCTCTTTATAATATTAAGTATAGATTAAAATTTATAAATAGAACAAAGTCCAGTTATCCTGTGCCTATCTCGTGGTTACGAGATTGGCTCAAAAATATGACAACCTTACTGTCATGAGATAAATAAAATCTCAAGCGCATTGTAAAACAGTTCTCAAACTTTTAAATAAGGGACGCATGGATGCTACGTGGCAAAAAAAAGAAGAAGATCGAATTGTTCCTTGGAATTCTATAGTATTATTATTACTTTGGCCTATTATCATGTTAAAAATATCATACGAATTTAAGGTTTTATATTCAAGTTTTTCTTTATGGTGTTGGCTTATTACTACTACTATATTGGCTTGTTATTCTCACCAATTAACTTTTACACAAATTAATGCGTTGCTTCAACTTCCCGATACAAGTTAACTCAATGATGGTAAAATACCATACTATAATTATGCGGCAGTAAAATGATTACAAAAACCAATTAAACTTTTAAAACCATTCCAATTTCCTTTCTTATTTTTTATGCGCCCCGAGAAACACAGTTAAACTATAATTGAACAATTTTTACACTTAATGAAGTAAATTTTAATTAAATCGATTAAAATGCTTATTATTACGTCACGATTACTGTCCCGCTAGTTTGGTTCAAATATAAAGTAACAATGAAGTTTCTTTTTATTAAACCATTTTACTTTCAAGAATACCGCGAAAAGTAATCAAATTTACTTATTTTCTTTACTATATTTTTTATATACATATTTACATTCTTCAATACATAATCGTACACCAATATATTAAATTAGTAAAATATAATGTTTTCGTTATGAATGAATATAAAACACGCAGCAAATGACTTTATCTGTTATTTGTTGTCTATTTCATCAAAAAAGTTTAGCTTGCGTCAAAATGGACGTAATTCTTAAAATGTCGACCAATAACAGTAGAGTGACCACGAAAGCTGTAAAGTAATCGAAACGTCAAGAATAATATAGTGAAAATAAAACAAACAAGATCAAACTGTAAAAGTTGTTTAATTGTTTCTACGGCTTGCGAAAACCGAGTAAAATATACTAAATATATAAAATATACTAAGCTTATTTAGATATTTTACTGATCAATTACTTCAGCTACGGCGGTCGATATTTGTCTTGATCCTAAATGGCCTCAACTAGAATTTATTCAAATGAGGTTTATTTTCTATTCGATTCCATTGTTTTCGAGATGTTAGCACGGAACAATGCTTTAGAAATCGCTTAAAGCGTTTTGACCTCAAACTAATTGCTTAAACGATTTTTCAGGACTTTGCACACTGAATTCAACATTTAATTTAATTAAGATTGCTGAGCTTAAATCAAAGAAAACCTTATAATATTAATATATCAAAATTGATGTACCGATGTGAATAGTTTTTGTGAAATGTGTTAAATTCAAGTTAACCTTTAATAAAAATTAAATTAAAATATTTGTACTCCGTGAAATGTTGTAAAAAAATTAATGTTGGGAGATAAGTTTGTACTTAAACAGTATTCCATTAGATGTCGCTCGATCTGATTCTAAATCACCAATCTTGAGAGCGACAGATGTCTTAATCTGTCGACGTTTTTGTTATTGTTTGTAGATAACTTTGAGATTCAATTATAAACGATTCTGTACATTAAATATTTAGTGTATATTCTTTAATTATGTCATTTTATTTAACTTCATTCTAAAAGTTTCATCAGAAAAATGTTGATAGATAACAAACTTAAAATTACTGTATCAGTTCACAAACCTATACAATGTGTACAGGCTGTATTTCGATTCTGAAATAATTACAGAATCAGTTACGTATAGAAACAAAAATGTACTATTATATTTACTTTACAAAATGGCAACCGTGCACAGAACATTAAAGAAGAATCGCCGTAATAATAACAATTATTAAGTGAAAAAAATAGGATTGCGGTGACGGAAATTATAGGTTTCACGGTTGAGGTTTTATAACGGGTATTAAAACATAATGCACACTATCAAGTAGCACTGCTCGTGAAAATTGATTGAATATGGCTTTGACGTAATATCCGACAAACGTAAACATTGACCGTTATTAAATAATAAGCTATGTTGATATTTATATCATATAATAACCTAAGTTTTTTTAATCTTTAAGGAAGAAATCGAAATGGTGGTTTATGATAACTTCTATTGAATGAAGACAATGTCATAATTTAAGCACTTTTTGCGGTTTAATCTTGTTTTTTAAGCTATTGTATAGCTTCTATCGCGGGCCTTGAGCGCGGCGACTGAATCAAGATATTCCGTAACGAAAATAACCTGACACCCCCACTACGCCTACTATGTAGCTCGCGTTCAACACATTCACACGTTGCGCTTGTGTAGTGTTTGTGAATAAGCGCGCGGCGTGACGTCGCACTGCCGCATGCACATCATGAAAGGTCTGCCCATTTCTCCCTCGCGCGGTCTAGGTTATGAGTGTGAAGGGGACAGTTAATGTTTTGCTTTTGTTAATGTTTATAAATATAGCGTGGTCTTATTTTATTGTTGTTTTAATATTAAATTATTTTTGTCGATTTCTAATTGCATAAGTTGATAAAAAATGCTATGCAATAGCTTTACCGCGGCAGTCTCCGAGTGCCACACGTGTTTTTTTTTAATGTCACTAAACTATTTCTACAGTTTTGATAGACACGGACGACGCACGACGATTAGCCAAAGGCTAGATTGAAAACCGTAAAAGTAATTTTAATTATGTCTAGGACTCGCGAAGACCTAAAAAAGGCTATGTCGGCCCCCTTTTGAAATGTAGTTCCATTTCAAAATTCGTTTGGGTTACTCAGAGTACTTCAGTGAATGCTTCTTACGTAATTCTCTTATGAATCAATAACAGTACTCACTCTATCCCAGAGTTTAACTGGGTAATTCTGTTCACATGATTATCTTCGAGAGACGCTTCGTAAATCTTGGTTCATGGTTAAATAGAGAAAGCTGTTAAATTTGTAAATATGATGATTTAACATTTCATAATTTACATTCTTTTTCGTTCTTTTCGATTATTTTTAAAATTGCACCTTCATTTTTTGCGTTGTCATTTATTTCAAGACTTCTTTAATCCAAATAGTAGTACTTGTAGGTGTTATAAGAATCTATTAGATCAATATCCCTTTTCCGAATCAAGTTGGGGTTTTAAAAAAAAAAAAGAAATATTTGTATGTGTCGGAAGTTTTTTCCAATTGAAAACTGTATTTGTTTGATTTTTCTAACTCGAGCTTGTTGTATCGAATGGTATGATTTTTTCTTTTGTGCTCTTTAAATGTTAGATTATATTTTGTGTATATTTTGTAAAACTACATTCTTTTACGGTTCTTTTTCGGTTATTATTTTTCTTTTAATTAGTTTCGACCTTTCAAATACTGTACAGCATTTGTGTTCAAGGACGACTTAGATATTGCTCGTTGACATTTGAATCTACTAATTATGTATAAAATATACTATTTTCACATTTACGTCAACGTTTTCACATTTACAATTACGTATTTTGAGGGGTGAGAGTTAATTGACTTGGAATTTCATCTTCACCATTAGACGATCTCAGGTGTTAGACAAGTCCAAATCGTAAAATTTGTTTTAATTATGCCTACGACTTGCGAACACTTCTTGCAAACGCAAAAATGCAACTACTTATAATATAATAATTAATACTTGTAATAATAATTAACTTATAATCTATACTAATGTATAAATCTACAGTGATTTTTACGGAGGTTCCGTTATAACTACTGAACCATGCATCCGATTGACATGAAACTTGGTATCCATGTAGAAAATACATGTACTTAATGGATAGACTAATATTTATATGAATGTTGGACTCCCTAATAATAATGACAATAAATAATAATGTTAATTTTAAATGCGCAGCGAAGCGGGCGAATACGGCTAGTAGTTTAATATTAGTATTTAAATGTCATTTATTATTATTAAAAATAATGTTCACAGCACTAATGTTTATTTAAGACTCGTTCATAGTTCTCACAGCATTTCCACGAAGTCTACGAGTTTGTGTAATGTACCTCGTTAGTCGTGACCGTGTATCGTTTAACGTTAACCCAAACGAACCGAGAAGTGTTCCAGACTCTCGTGCTTTATAATACATTTTAATCTAAGAATGTTTATAGGACAACAGCTGATAATATGAACAAAAATGTGAAGAGAATACACGAGGGATATATTTTTTACTTCTTAGATGGATAGACGAGCCCACCTGGTGTTAACTGGTTACTGAAGCCCATAGACATCTACAACGTAAATGCGCCACCCAGTTTGAGATATAAGGTCTCAAGTATAGTTACAGCGGCTGCCCCACCTTTCAAACCGAAACGCATTATTACTTCACGGCAGAAATAGGCAGAGGCAAGAGGTCCTACCGCCAGTAATTACGCAAATTATAATTTTGCGAGTTTGATTTTTATTACACGATGTTTTTCCTTCACCGTGGAAGTCAATCGTGAACATTTGTTGAGTACGTAATTCATTAAAAAAATTGGTACCCGCCTGGGATTCGAACATCGGTGCATCACTCAACACGAATGCACCGGACGTCTTATCCCTTAGGCCACGACGACTTCAAAATATGTATGTTAGGTACTTCAAGACATGAGTGTCCATGCTCTGTTTTAATGTTATAAATGCGAATGTCGTTCATTCACGTCGAAACAAAGAGATTGCCATTTTTTATTTATTTATTTATTTCATACTATTTATTATGTCTGCAGAGTAGCATAGACTACTTATTATACCAATTTTTTTTTTATCACATTTCCACAAGAAAACACACTGCCACTTTCCTTGCACACGAGCAAAACCGCGGGTAGCAATTGGTTGTAAATATTAAAATTATTGTAATAATTCACACAAATGTTGATTGAATGTCGTCGTCAATATGAACATCGAGCTGGTGGTGGTATTGTAAGCTTATACGTGTACGTACTACCATCCCCATACCCGTTGTAACATTAAGATTTCTTGCAACAGGAAATTCGTATCAAGATTTAAAATTTAGTTCTTGAATATCCCAACGCCTGATGACAAAAACTATCCCTGAAACATGTCGGGCTATTTATAAATGTCTGGCACATTAAATAAAGGCGACCGAAATTAATACTTTTTATTCGGAAGCAAAAAACAAACTAAAACGTCCTTACGCACGGAGAGCTATGGGACGACTGAAACCATTAAGTAACTAAATGCGATTACACCTGCCTAAATGCGTTTCTAATTAGGCTTCTAAATGATTCAGTCAGTCAGAAACCATCCTTGCTACTGAATCAGTAGACTAACTTACTTAATGCTATTACACTTCACTGTGAATTCAGTCGACTAAATTCAGCGAAGTGTAAAAAACCTTTAAGCAAACAACAGCAAAAAGAAAACGATATAACAAAAGAAAATTAACTGAGTTACACTTATTGTTTTCGATAAATAGAAATATGAAGTTGTTCAAACTTCAATTACGTGTCGAGTTAAAAAATTATGTAATTTTCCTGGTTACCTGACCTCTCGACGTTTATCTTTCTCAATTATTATTTTTCTAAGGTCCATTAAAATATCGTTAGTATAATGTACTAACGTGTTTTTGTTACAAATCTAATGGTAAGAAGGAAAAAAGGCTTCCTTGATTATTTGACTATGTTCAATGTCAATTCATTTTGTGGGAAATATCCTAAGTTCAAGCAAATTTAGTTGATGAAAAATTTCTATACCTATTAAGAATTTATGGCAGAAAAAGAACATATTCTCATAAAATATGTGAAGTGGAATCATCGAAGGCGATTGGATCTGGCATTTTTATTTTTATTAGCTAATGAAAGCACACAAAGCTTAAACGAACTCGCCGATGTGAGCACTCGTGTACACACTGCTCATTATTTTCAAACTACTTTCAGTAAACTGAAAACTTAACACGTTATAATCGCTGGTTCATTAGCATCTTCAACTTATCATATTATCTTGACTATATTTAGACGATATATGCCTTATAATTTTATAGATAGCAGTGGTTTCAAAAGCTCAATTCAAGGTAAAATTTTAAAATCAACACTGTGCTTTTGCATCACAGTTATACTAATCTGCTCAGTCAATTATTTTAGGACACGTCTTTTAGTAATTAGTTTTGGTTACAATAATTCCAATCAGTCCAATTGCAACTATGACCGCGATCTTTTATATCATAGTGACTATTTGATATTTATTGAATAGCACAGTTAAGCACTCTAGCTGTAGCACTAAAAGAACAAATCTCGTCTTGATCTTTGCTAATAAAAGATTTAAAATTGCTGCCCAAAGATATCGTCTTGTTGGTGACGACAATATTTAGGGACTACGGAAGTTATGAAAGTATAAATAACGATTGCATACGTCTCTCTTTGATTTGTAAACTTCCGAATGTTTAAGAGGCCTCACTAAACTGAATGTAATTCAAATTACGAACGGATGTTTTCCCTTTTTATTGCTAAGATGGGTGGACGAGCTCACAGCTCACCTGGTGTTAAGTGGTTACTGGAGCCCATAGACATCCACAACGTAACCCAATCCGCGCGGACTCACAAAAGGTCCTAACACCAGTAATTACGCAAATTATAATTTTGCGGGTTTCATTTTTATTCCACGATATTATTCCTTCAACGTTGAAAATGAATCGTTGGTATAATAGCCGGCAAACTTCTTGAGCATTTGTCGACGTAGTGGGGGTAAGTTCGCGCATGGTACACTCACGTGCAAAAACATTATTTACTCTGCGTCATAATGCTATTAAATTATTAATATCAACATATTATGTATTTATTTATATATTTATTAAAACATCAACAAAAAATATAGGTGAATAATTGTAATAATTTAATCTTGG